AAAAAAAAAAAAAAAAAAAACTTTCATTGCAATCAATTATCAAAACACAGGTCTTCAAATCGCAACCAATCGTTTAATCTCACCACCGCAATTTGCTTAATGTTATAACGGCGCGTCTGATCAATTTCTGCCTTGAACATATTCTCAAACTTCTTGTAGCTAATATCCTTCTTCCTTTTACCCTTGAAAAGTAGCTAAGAGTTGCAAGTTTTTATCACAAGTAAGATGTCAATGAATATACAATATAAGATCATTAGTAAATCACATGAATACATTTGGACACACCTCGTTGCATGGATACGTAGATGAAAAGAAACACGCTGCTGATCCACGACTTTTGAACTTCTCATTAACATTCATGATACAAGCCCACAGGTTAATAAGCTCCTCGGTAATAGGCGTATTCGGAGCCAAACATGCAACCATATTTCGTTTCACCGAATATTGATCGGACTGATATATAATAACGTCGCTAATCAACGATATCGGCACGCCACAAAATATAATTAGATAAGTATGCTGAAATTAATCATAAATAAAATATATGAAAACAGTAAATACACATGGATCTTACTCATGACCATCTTTATGCTGAAATTAATCATAAATAAAATATATGAAAACAGTAAATACACATGGATCTTACTCATGACCATCTTGATTCTTTAGAACCCAATTAGCAATCATTTTCTCTTTCCGGTCAAGTTTTTTAACAATATCAATCACGCGCTGCATGTAAGGCGATTTAATTGCACTGCTTGCATTAGTATGCCTTTTCGGCCTACCGGTATCCACAGCAACATTATCGACAATGGCGTCAACGTCAGCAACTAATCAACATGTATAAGGAAACAAAATTAAACTCGTAATAGCGCTAATAAAAAAACAAAAAAAAAAAAAAAAAACAAAAAAGTAGAAAAACAAAGCATATACCTTCAGACGCATGATCACCATTCACCGTACCGTGTCCATCGTCACGAACAAATTTCTCAGTCAACCCGGTTTCA